AATGGCTTGTTATTGGTATCAACAAGCGGCGAATGATGGTCATGCTATCGCAAGATATAAACTTGGGTACTTTTATCTTGTTAAAAAAGATTATCATAAGACTTTTAGCTATTACAATTTAAGTGCTCAGAGTGAATACATTATTGCCATAAGAATGTTAGGTTATTGTTATCTAAAAGGTATTGGAACTCCGGTTAATGAAAAGATGGCACTTGAGCTTTATTTAAAAGCCGCTAAGATGGAAGATAACATTGCTCAGCATAATGTCGCTGTTTGTTTTGAATCTGGTATTGGTACGACAAAAGATTTAGAAAAAGCTATGGAATGGTATGAAAAATCCGCCAATAATGGTAATAATATTTCTAAAGAAAGGTTAGAAAAATTAATTAGTAAACAAATCATTAATGTAAATTAAAAAGTAATATTTCACTTCCTAAATTTTCTTGTAAAATTAATATTGATTGTATAAACCACCCCACCCCAGCTTACGAAAAAAGATTTTAGTAACAGTAGATAATAATTTATAAATTTTATTTGCGCTTCTGAAAATCTTGGTCTAAAAACCACTAGAATTTTTCTGTTAATTCAGAAATTTGGCTAGATCAAATGAATTTGGGCGAATTAAAATTGACCCGGGGACCGGATTTCTCAATTACCGGAAAATTTCAATAAAAAAACTTGTAATTTTCATAAATCTAATAAATTAAAATTAGCCGACAAAATTTCCCCTTGTCGGTTCCTTACATAAGGATGTAATTCGATTTGTCCAAAAAACAATACAAGATTTATGAATTGATTAGACCATGATTTCGGGACTACTATGTCAATTGTTCCAATTTGTTTCATATCAGGTTCATCACAATATATAGCATTTGATGCCGTCGTAGCATACAATTCAACTGAAAATTCTGTTTGATTTTTATAACATGGACGAATTTCATATTCAAATTCTTGATTTACTTGCACATCTGTACCCTTTTTTACTAATCTCAAAAATCTTTTTCTCTGATCTTCTTTGCAAGGAGAAGTTGTTCTAATTCCATAAGTCATGGTAATCACACGTGAATATATTAATTTCGTGTTTGATCCATATTCAAGCGCCCCTTCTATCGTTGCAAATAATTGTTTGGGTACGGAAATATGCTTAATCGTTTGATCAAATTCTTTTTTGATACACGTTTGCAAATATTCTGACTGACTAAAACCACCTACTAAGACCATAGCAAAACAAGTGTTTATGGAATATAATTGTTCACGAATTAATTTGATTATTTGATCTATAATCGGTTCAAACAATGTTTTAACATCATCATATGTAAGGATTATAAGCCAATTGTTTTTCACCAATACTTCTTTATAAGGTTCAGTAATATAAACTTTGATGGCGGGGCAAATATCTTCAAGATCCATCTTATAAGGTTCAAAATCATCCTTATTCCCAGTAAATCTTACTTTACAATTTTTGCAAAATTGTTGAACCATGTATTGTAACTGTTCATAATGGTTGCTTTGAAGTTTCTCCAAGGCATCTAGACCAACTTTTTTTGCTATAAATGCAAGAAATTCTTTATTCACATAAATCGATCCACATTGTTTACTTGAAGTTGATGACTTTTCTGCCAATTGATTATTTGATAACAGTTGTCTAAGGGTTAATTCAACTATACCGCCTCCACAATTAACAACCAAAAAGTTTTCTGTAATAGTAAAAGTTTAGGTAAATAAAACAGATCTTATAAATCTTAACGTAAAATACTAACTTTTGAGATCGTCCAACAAGAGTTCTCTCTCTAGTATTTTCTTGCAGTATATGGCTGCTGCCTCAACTATTAATAAGGGAATATATTGTTGAACATCGTTAAAT